TAATTAATTTTCTTCTCTAAGTCACATGTACACATTTCTAAGTCCCCTTAAGTTTGTTCCATTGTGCCATATAAAAAATATCTTTTTATGTGTTCTAGGACGTGAAAAATGTTGGAGAGCTGGGCTTCCCTGGTGGCGCAGCGGTTGAGAATCCACCTGCTAATGCAGGGGACACGGGTTCAAGCCCTGGTCTGGGAAGATCCCACATGCCGCGGAGCAACTAGGCCTGTGAGCCACAACTACTGAGTCTGCACGTCTGGAGCCTGTGCTCCGCAACAAGAGAAGGGGCCGTGATAGTGAGAGGCTCGTGCACCACAATGAGGAGTGGCCCCCGCCTGCCACAACTAGAGAAAGCCCTCGCACAGAAACGAAGACCCAACACAGCCCTAAATAAATAAAATTTTAAAATAAATAAATAAATAAATACTCCTGTTCTCTGTTTAAAAAAAAAAAAAAAAATGTTGGAGAGCACATCTTAGAGAGTCCCAGATTTTAAAGAGGATTCCTAATAGTAAGAGATGCTTGAGGACTTCCGCATTGGCGCAGTGGTTAAGAATCTGCCTGCCAATGCAGGGGACACGGGTTCAAGCCCTGGTCCGGGAAGATCCCACATGCCACGAAGCAACTAAGCCCCTGCGCCACAACTACTGGCCTGCGCTCTAGAGCCCGTGAGCCACAACTACTGAGTCCATGAGCCGCAACTACTGAAGCCCACGCCCCTAGAGCCCGTGCTCCACAACGAGAAGCCACCGCAGTGAGAAGCCCGCACACCGCAACGAAGAGTCGCCCCCGTTCGCCGCAACTAGAGAAAGCCAGCGCGCAGCAAGGAAGACCCAACACAGCCAAACAAACAAATAAATAAATAAAGAGATGCTTACACTTAGGATTCTTTATATGGCTTGCTGAGAAAGTTTACATATTTAAAATTTTGCAAAATTTGCCCTTCATAAAATGCTCATGGCTATAGTGTAATGTCTTGAGTTCTACAGGGGCTGTCTGCAGACCTATGTGTCAGTTTTGTGGAGAGTCAGCCTTTTTTCCCCCAGCTTCCTTGAGCTGTAACTGACAAAACTGTAAGATATTTAAAGTGTACATGGTGATGATTTGACACACGTATACATTGTGAAAAGATGTCCCCCATCTAGTTAATTAACACATCCATCAACTCATATATTTATCTTTTTTTTTTTTGGTGAGAACATTTAAGTTCTCTTAGCAAATTTCAATTATAAAATACAATGTTATCAAGTATATTCACCATGTTAATACGTTTGATCCTTGAGTCAATCTAATCCATTGGTTTTCCCCCTTCTATGACTGCTAAGATTATCTCGTTTGCTATCATGATTTTGTGACAGTAGTTAATGAATACTCTGTAAAATAAAATACTTTGTAAAACAAACTGTTGTCACATTTAAAGCTATAAACTCTAGATTTGAAAATAACACACACATACATGCACAAACCAAACACTCTTACATCGTTTTATAGTTTATTTTTAAAATGACAGTAACAAATGGTCTTCCCTTGTTGGGAAATGACATATCTACTTTCAGTCAATAGGGCCTTAAAAAGTAACAGCATTTTGTCCAAATTGAACTTATATAATTGCACGAAAGTCATACAAAGCATTAAGAAATGCTCACAAAGATTGCAGTTCTCTCAGCTTCTCATGAAGCACACCCCAAGAGGCCTTGGTTTCAGTGGGAATCCCTGATCTGAATAATACTGATGCTTACCCCAAGTTCCTCAGTGACACACAGGCAGAGGTGAAAGGAGCCAGGAAGACAAACGTGCTTTGTGACAGTGGAATTCTGCTCTACAATTAGGGTTTAATGATGTATTCACCTTCTCATATTAGGATTATTAAACACTTCAGCTTGAAGTATATTTGTCCAGGCTTAAAACTTAACCCTATCAGCTTAAGTTTTGGGATACAGATCCCACTTCAGGAAACTAAAATTAAAAACAAACAAACAAACAAAAACCACACAGTAAAAACCTCTTCCAAGCAAGATCCTTTATGCTGCCACCATCCTGGGCCCTCATTTAGTTTCTAACATACAAACACAAATAAGTTACATTATTACTGATCATATGCCAGTTGAGGGATGGTAGACAGAGTCTCACTCAAATCCCAACTCTTGTTTTACTGACAGCAGTTACTGGAAACACTGTGTTACAAAGGACTCTGGGGTCACAGGTGGAAGTGGTGGGACAGCCACTATGCTGTACATGTGATGTGACATGGACACAGGACAGGGAGAGGCAGCACTCATGCATCATATTTGCATTCCTTCTATTATTAAGGAAGCTAAGGAGGATGCTGGTTATGTATGTTTTGAAAAACAACAAAGCCCAAGTTTTCTATTTTAATGAGTTACAATGTCTTTATCCGGGGATTTAACATATTTTATGGATCTTAAACCCAATTAAGATATAATGTCTATACTAGGAGTTTTCCTTTTCTGACCTTACAAAAATTAATAAAAAAGATAACAATATTTTGAAAGAAGACACACAAAGAGAACTTTAAGTCACCATAAGAAGTACCTTCCTAACTTGGGTATGACTATGGGAAGAGGAGAGTTATTATTCTATTTCTACTGCTGTGTTTCAAATAAAAAACACAGTCCCAGTTTAATTATAGAGAAAAATAACAATTCCTGAAATAAAACCATGAAAGTATGCAGCAGAGGCCATCTAGATATACTTTTTTTTTTTTGCAGTACGCAGGCCTCTCACTGTTGTGGCCTCTCCCGTTGTGGAGCACAGGCTCCGGATGCACAGGCTCAGCAGCCATGGCTCACGGGCCCAGCTGCTCTGCCGCATGTGGGATCTTCCCGGACCGGGGCACGAACCTGTGTCCCCTGCATCGGCAGACAGACTCTCAACCACTGCCCCACCAGGGAAGCCCTAGATATACTTCTTGCCTTTAGATTATTGTTAATATTTTAGCTGTATCTCTTCAATTCAGGGAGAAAAATTCCAGTGTAACATTTGAAGCATTTTTTAAAAATTAAGGTTTCCATTAGGAGAGCTTGGTGTATATATGAAGTATTTATTATACTGAAACAAGGAGGGAAATGTGGGGCATGTCTGTGGTAAGGCTAAGAATTAATGAGATTCCGGCACTGTGCACAATTATCTGCTCAACCAATCCTGAACAGATCAGACAGTCCCTAAACCGCTGCTCTGAGATGTACACTGTGTCACTTCTTGAAGGTTCTGATAGTCTGATGCAAATGTTAGCTGCTGTGGTTAATCGGGGACTCAAAGGACAATATGCCTGGGTCAGGGACTATAAATCACCAGAAGAATTCCACAACGGCCGTTCTACGTGTGACTTGCAACACCTGTAGAACTTGCCAGGAGTCCAGCTGGAAGAAGTCTGTTTCATGTCCAAGTAGGCTGCTATTCATAAAAGCCGCCTAAGCTTTTAGCTAGAAAGTTGAAGACTACAGAAAATGATTTATAAGAAGAAAAGGAAATTCCTTATTCCAGGATTGTAAGTGAACAAAGGTAACCCAATTCCAGAAAAAGGTTGTTGAGGCCATACAGGCCAAGGGAGTGAGAAGCCAGAGTTGTGGGTTTCTTTTTAGTCCCCTCTTAGAAAGTAACAAGCACAGGACTGAGAAGTTGGAGAGTGATGAGAAGGGCGGGTGCAGGGATGATGACTCCAGCTGTGCAGCCATCCATTCCCACAGCTGCTGGGCACAGCCAAGCATTTGCGGGTGAGCACTGTCAGGACACAATCTGTATCACTTTGGTCGCTAACATTATCTTTGTCTCCTGATGAAGTCACTGCCTGTCTGCTCTGGGCTCTGTACCTTGGGTTTTTCTGACAAGATGGGCAAACCTCTAGCACTGCAAGGAGTGTTAATCTCCTAGCCTGTTCTTCCCTAATGCAAATATTTTCTTAAAATTTTTCGAATTTATGTTCTAACAATCAGCATGTTTTATACATCTTGAGCTCATATGCAGGTTTAAAGGAGGTGAACACACTAGTTCTTAAAGCTTTCCCCTATGATAGGAGCTCCCAAATAACCTATCTGCAGCAGTCTAGCCCTGTTCACTTCACAAACTGAGTATTATATAATTGCATCCAACACTGTGTTGAGGGAAACATGAGTCTTTACCATTGTCCTTCCAGTGCTAACGTCCAAGGAAGGAAAGGATCACAGGGTGTTTACAGGTACTGAGCGGGTTGCATATTTTGTTTTTATTGGCACTAGAGGAAATCACAGAATAATAACTGGGGTGTCTCTCTGAATACTGGGTGCCATTCCTCTGACTTTAATAGGGTAAGTAGAGGATCTGCCCTTGGCCAGGGAAGCAGCTTCAAGGGTGTGCTGAGGGTCAATGCATTAAGAATCTATAAAGAAAGCATGGATGTCTGGGAAAGGAATCAACTTTAGACTGAGAACAGACGGATGGCGGTCTGGATCTACAGCAGACACATATACTTTTCTTTCTCTTTCATTTCCTTCCTTATCAAGAATCTAAACACCTTCCAGGTCCCAGGTAACCAAATAGCAAGAAAGGCTCAAAAATGTTTTGTTCGATAGCTAGTGTTGCTGGAATCTGGACTGTGGCTGAATGGTGTGACTGTAGGACACCAGTGCCCTGAGGGCTCACATGGCTCCGGTAGATACATGGGCTCCTGGATAGGTAGGCAGGTGTTATGGAAGGTATGTACTAGCCACCCACAATCACTGATGGGTGGTTTTCAGTGTAGGAAAAGACCTTGGTGATGGGCTCAAAATATATAAGCATTACAAAAAAATCTTACGATATTAGGTAGATCTCAGGAAAAGTGCAGAGGGGAAGGACCTGGAGAGAAGCTGAGAATTTTCTCCATGTGCTAACTGGGATGTGTGGACATATGTAACCAAGATCTTTCTTTACATCTGAAAACTAAACTTGTCTGAGTCATTAATTCTACAGAATTAATGTTACTAAAGTTGCAGTAACATACAATCCAAAAACTCAATTTCCCAGATTTCTAGCTACATAAAACAAGAAAAGACCACATACACAACTACATACACTCATATAGCTGCTGCACTCCCCAGTGGAACACGTGTATAAATGTCCACACAGAGACCCCCAGAAAGCACACGTGCACAGAGGCCAACGTCCACCCCTTCTGAACCTAAGATGCATGTGGGCCACACTGAGGGTCAAGAGGCCCTATTGCATATCTGTTCGATGTCATTCATCTCTTTGGGACAATCTGCAGAAAGGATGAGAGGTGAGTCCTCTGTTACCACTACATCATCCTCAATTCGTACACCAAGACCACGGAACCTCTCAGGGGCGTCTTTGTCATCCTCCGGAATATAAATACCTGAGAAGTAGAAAAAAGAATCAGAACATTCTATTCATAAATGGCAGTAACTGGATGATTTGGGGCAAGTAAGTTAACCTCTATAAAGTTGGGATCCTAACAGTACCTACCTAATAGAAATGTGGAGATTAAATGAGATAATATATAAAAAAATGTCTGGTACATAAATGGTCAGTAAGTGTTGCCTATCGTTACTAGAACTATTATTATAGTTATTTTGTATACTAGACTACAAGATCTATACAACTACAGTAATGTTGATCACGATTCTGTCACGTTCTAATGGCTCAAATGGGCCACTAAAGTTACTTAATTTATGAGTATGTCGATATATGCTGGGACCCAGTAGATTATATAAATGCATTCTTTCTCTGCCTAACAGTTCCGTGGAAAAAGGGTACTTTGCTAAAATAAAGACTTAAGGCATTTTAAAATGTATTTAAAAAACACTTACTTAGATATTATTAGCCTCAACAACCAGAAGCTGCACAAATACTCAAATAAGTCATAAATGTAACTGACGTGTACATGACGTAAAGAGGGAAAAAGGAAGACCTTAAAGAACATTTGAAAAATTCTAAGAAACCAAGGTTCCCTTTCAAATCATGAAGTCAGACAGACACCAGGTCTTTTCATATTAAAGAAACTGTAAACTTCCTTCTCTGTACTCACAGATGCTGTTCTGTGATAAGAAGAAAAAGACCAGCAAAGGAAAATGTAGTCGAAGTCTAAGGAAGCGTCAACTAGATTGGACTTAACAGTACGTAAGGTCACAGACAGCAACATATGCCCGGACTTAAAGGGTGGCATAAAAGATGTGTCCCAACTATAACTTACATCATTTAGAGGTGAAAACGCTTGAAATCTAAGATTGAGATCTGCTTTCATGACAGAAGCAGCATCGATGTTTAAAACTGACTGGTGGGGCTTCCCTGGTGGCGCAGTGGTTGAGAGTCCGCCTGCCGATGCAGGGGACACGGGTTCGTGCCCCGGTCCGGGAAGATCCCACATGCCGCAGAGCGGCTAGGCCCGTGAGCCATGGCCGCTGAGCCTGCGCGGCCGGAGCCTGTGCTCCGCAATGGGAGAGGCCACAACAGTGAGAGGCCCGCGTACCGCCAAAAAAAAAAAAAAAGAGGAAAACAAAAACCTGACTGGTGATATCAATCTTACACTCCACCGTGGCCACCACTTTTCTACTGAATCCTGCCCAACATCCAGCATCATTCAAGCTGGAGAACCATTAGACTGCCAGCTCTCTCTGAAGCTTAGAAGAAAGGATCTGGATACTAAAAAGTGGAATAATGCAGGCAGTTCAATGCAGAGGAGCTGCAACTGAGAACATGGGGAGTTTGAGTGTCTCTGCAGAAAAGTTCCAGGGGCTTCACAAGTGTCAGCAGCCCACCAAGATGACGGGAAGGACTAGTACAAACTGGCCCTGGCAAAGGCAGGGTTAAAAAAAGATTTCTTTCTTAATATCTACTGATCGAAAGTATTCCCCATCTGTTGTTTATTGGAGAAGTCAAATTAAACAAATTGTGTGATGTGAAATAAAAAAGCTCAAGAAAAAATCTAAAAGAAAGTTCCCTTCTACTGGAGAGATTCATTTTCCTGTCTCTTCTAATTTAATTACATTCGTTCAGGTAAAAATAAAGTGTTTACCGTTCTATCTAACACTAGAATTACATGTCCCAAGGGATCAGAGGTTGCTAGCACCTCCCCTTACCTGGCTCCACTGTGATTACCATACCAGGCTGCAGAGGGAGGGAGCGGGGCATGTCTGGAGTGTCGTGGACATCCATCCCGAGGTAATGGCCAACATGATGCGGGCAGTATTTTCGAGCAGCCTGGAAAAGATATTACCTCAGTGTTATTAGAGCAATGACCCCTTAAGGGGAAAGTTGGGCATATATAACGCCATGAGATATGTGTTAATACTGACCCCTGCCCCCAGTTCTGCCACTTGTTTCACCTATCCTCGGGCTAATGCTTAAGAGACTTGAAAACTGCCACCTCTTGTATGCAATTCTGCCAACAGCATTCTAACTAATCCACATTTCTATTCTTACAATTTAATATACTACACACATGCTAACTGGGGTAAGCCCAGTAATGACTACGGCAAATGAAAATCTCTTTTCTTGGGGGAGGGAAGATAATTGTGTTAGAATAGTTCTCTTTTCAGTGTTCGCATGTCCCTCTTAGGAAGGCTACTCTGGAGACTCTAAGTATCTCACAGCAACTTGTGGAGTAGGTATGAAACACCATGTAACACAGTAATTATTAGGCATTTACTAGCTTGGATATTTCTATCCGTTGATTAAAGATTTGTTGGCATGAATAGGAGGAATTTATAGCGTTTTTCCTATTGATAAAAGAAACCCTGGCAGCCTAAACTTGGAGCTAGGAGATGCCTTACTGGTCTGTTTCGTTTGACCACCTGGCATGGTCGCATACCATTTAATTTAAAGCTGAGGCTTTAAATTTTTACTGAACACTATCACATTTTGGATGCAGATGAAATTCACTAAACATGGCAACTGAGGATATTGTTAAAAGTCTCAACAATGTTACTGAAGCCAAGAAACACCCTCCCCTTCGACCTCTACCTTTTCAAAATCACTACAAAAGAATAAAGAGTTAACCTCTCCTCCGTTTTATGTCCTCTTCCACCCTGTCTGTACCAGACTTCATTTTGTTTTCTGAATTCTGAGCTAGTTACACAGTATGCAATGAACCAGATGTGCTGCCATCTTCTGGTAGAAATAAGTATTGCACCTTTTGCTTTAATCCATGTTCAAAAAAAGTCCCTCCTACTGGTGAAGAATCACCAACACCATTTCTAAATCTAATTAGTTTTACGTAGGATAAAAACTAAGCAGCATGTCAGGTGTTCTTAAGAAATGGGGTCAAAGGAAGTGAAGTACCTTGAAGGCATTATTTTCCTTAATGTTCTTCACGATACCCAACTCTTTAAGCTTCTGTCCTATCAGTGTTAGCATCATGCTGTAGATGTTATCCAAGCTTGTTCCAGGGGAGCAGAGAGTCAGACAAGCTTTCTGGACTTCTAGAACAGCTTCATAGAGTTCTGCCTGAGATGCCGTGAACCTGGGGACAGGAAAACCCAAGAACTCGAATTTGGAACTCTCTGATATTGTAGGAAGTTTGCTTCTAAGTTTGATTAGAAAAACTCCAAGGCAATGATGATGGGGCATTGTTGATATTTAGTCAGTACCAGTATAGCATTAATGACAGGACCTCAATCATGCCTAGATGCTCAACAGGAAGAGCAATAACCCTTAAAGCTGGGGCAGCAACAACAATCTCTCCTTCAAACAGTCAGCTGACAGACACGGGGTGAGGTTAAAAGATGCACCCAGCCATGAATGCAGTCAGAGGGCCAGATCAGGCTTACTCTTGATCCTCTCCATTTTTTTTTTTTACCATTAAAAAAACACAAACAAAAAACCAACCAAAAAAAAAAAAAAAACAACAGAGCCTAAGGATCCACTTATAGGCAAAGCAGATGTCATGGGATAAACTAATCAATACTTTGGCTATGGGACTTCCCTGGTGGCGCAGTGGTTAAGAATCTGCCTGCCAATGCAGGGGACATGGGTTTGAGCCTGGTCCGCGAAGACCCCACATGCCACAACTACTGAGCCTGCGCTCTAGAGCCCGTGAGCCACAACTACCGAGTCCACCTGCCGCAGCTACTGAAGCCCATGCACCTAGAGCCCGTGCTCCGCAACAAGAGAAGCCACCGCAAATGAGAAGCCCAAGCACTGCAACGAAAACTAGCTCCCGCTTGCCGCAACTAGAGAAAGCCCGCACACAGCAACCTGAAGACCCAACGCAGCCAAAAATAAAGTAAAATAAATTAATTTATAAAATAAGTAAATAAAATGTATTTGTTTAAAAAAAATACTTTGGCTACTAATAACTTACTAGTTTCCAGGTGTCCTTAGTATAATAATTTCTTCGTCAGTAATGGGGAAAAATGAGGGAAAAATACCAAGCTTGGGTGGTATATGATATGTGTTTTTAATACATTTTAAAAAAAATTAACTTATTTTTGGCTGCGTTGGGTCTTCGTTGCTGCATGCGGGCTTTCTCTAAGTTGCGGCAAATGGGGGCTACTCTTTGCTGTGGTGTGTGGGCTTCTCACTGCGGTGGCTTCTCTTACTGCGGAGCACGGGATCTAGGCGCTTGGGCTCAGTAGTCGTGGCGCACGGGCTTAGTTGCTCTGCGGCATGTGGGATCTTCCCAGACCAGGGCTTGAACCCATGTCCTCTGGATTGGCAGGCAGATTCTTAACCACTGTGCTACCAGGGAAGTCCCTATACATTGTTGATGGAATTGTAAATTAGTACAGCCAGTTAAATCAAAGGCCTTAAAGGTGCTCATAAAATTTAAGTTTGTAATTCTGCTCTAAGAAGCCATCCTGACAAAATATTTGAAATTCAAAAAAAGCTGAATATACAAAAATGTTCACTGTGATTTTAAAAATAATTATAATTATAAATGTCCCCTAATAAGAATGGTTAAAGTCAGCAAGGTAATGCTATAATGAAAACCTACACACCCATCTCCCAGGTTCAGCCATTATTAACACTGTTATGTTTGTCATTGATGAGTATAAACATGCTCCACCCCATCTCAGTATTACTAAACACTTTTTAACAATTCTTTTTCTAATGTAAATTTTATATACACTGAAATGTACAAATCTGAGCTCTACAATTCTGACAAATGGATGTGCTGGTGGTGATGAAGCTGGGGACACTGAACCCCTAAATTCTGCTGAGTCATCTTTGCTAGGAGAAGCAGCCCTTCTACCCCAGTCTGAGGAGGCCAACCTTGTTTTGACTGAGAACCTACAGGTATCTCCCCAGAGGCAGCTGCCTTGGTAGTTGCTTCTAGACCCACAACTAGACGTTACTCCCAGCAGGTCCCAAAAAGTTAGGTACAAAGTGTGACCCATGACGAGATGCACTATAATCCAAAAAGAACTGCACGATTTTTCCTATTTATATAGACAAAAATCTGGGAATATGTATAGAAATGGATGTTCATGTGTGGGCTAATGATGGAAGGAACATAAAGTTGGATCAGGCTGAATTTATTGATAGGGGTCCACTAAGGAGAGATTCTGGATTCAATGCTGAAGCTTGAGGGCTCAGAAAGGCTCTAACGGTTTATTTGGTTGGTTGGCTGAAACATGGATCAAAAGGTAGCCTGCACTAAATGAATTCAAATACCAGAACTACTTTGCTATGTTGGAGAAAGAATTCTGCCTCAAGACTGCAACATCAGCTTTTGCCTGAGTTTCCAGCCTGCAGTTCTGCCCTCTGAAATTCAGAAATGCCAATCCCCATGATCACATAAGCCAGTTCTTTAAAATCAATCGATCATCAACCAACCTACCTACCTACATATGCATACATACATAATATATCCCACTGGCTGTTTCCCTGGAGAAATGAGATCCAGATCCATATCCCTATGACACAGAACATTGCCATCCCCCTCGTGGAAGTTCCTCATGTCTATTTCTAATCAACACCCCTACCTCGAGAGGGAAACACTGTTCTGATTATTTTCACCTTAGTTTTGCCTATTCTAGCATGTCATATAAATGGAATCAGACAATATGTACTCTTTTGTGTTGAACTTCCTTCATTAAGAATAATGTCCATGGTGTTATTTTGATCAGTAGTTTGTCCCCTGTTTATTGCTGAGTGGTATTCCATTGTATGAATAGTCCACAATTTGTGTATTCATTCCCTTGCTGATGGACATTTAGGTCATTTCCAGTTTTTGGCTACTGTGAATAAAACTGTTATGAATATTCTTGTACAAGTCTTTTTGTTCCCGTTGCACTGCACCACTGCCAACACTTGGTATGGTTGGTCTCTTTAATTTCAACCATTCTAGTGGATGTGTAGAGGTTTAACATGCATTTTCCTCAATGACTAACAATGATGAATACACATATTTGTTCACATATTATCTCATTATCCTTTTGATATCTGTAGGATTTATTGTGATATCCTCTTTCCTGATCACACAGCTCCAGCAGATTCATGGGAGTAATGCTCTTTAAGTTCCCACCTAACGATCTGTACCCTTTATAGCTGAAAGTTTCTTTTGCTGCAGATAAAATCTTTGGCTCACACTTTTGTTCTCTGAGCATCTTTAATACATTACACTATTTTCTTCTTTCATAAAGCTTGGCTTTTGAAAAGTCTGATAACAGTCTAGTTTCCTTTCCTTCCTTTCCTCTTTTTTTCTAAGTCCCCAAAAGAATTTTTCTTTTCCTTGCAGGTTCAGAATTTTACTAGACTATGTCTTGGTGTTGTTTTTTCCTGGGCTGATATTCTCAGGTACGCAGTGTGCTCTTTCTAAGGTAGTTTCAATATTTTTTTTTCAGGAAAATTTTAAATTATAGTTTTTAGTATTTGTTCTGTTCCCTTGCTTTGGTTTTCTTCTTCAGGGCTTCCTTCATGTGTATGTTCTAACTCTTTGCCTATTTTTAAAATTAAAAAAAAATTTTTGGCTGTGTTGGGTCTTTGTTGCTGCACATGGGCTTTCTCTAGTTGCAACAGGCGGGGGCTACTCTTCGTTGCAGGGCGTGGGCTTCTCATTTGCGGTGGCTTCTCTTGTTGCAGAGCACGGTCTCTAGGTGTGTGGGCTGCAGTAGTTGTGGCGCTCAGGCTCAGTAGTGTGGCTCGTGGGCTTTAGAGAACAGGCTCAGTAGCTGTGGTGCATGGGCTTGGTTGCTCTGCGGCATGTGGGATCTTCCCGGACCAGGGCTCGAACCTGTGTCCCCTGCATTGGCAGGCAGATTCTTTTTTTTTTTTTTAATTGGTTTGATTTCTTTATTTTAAAATAAATTTATTTATTTATTTTTGGCTGTGTTGGGTCTTCGTTGCTGCACATGGGCTTTCTCTAGTTGCGGGGAGCAGGGGCTACTCTTCTTTGCGGTGCAGGGGCTTCTCATTGTGGTGGCTCCTCTTGTTGCAGAGCACGGGCCCTAGAGCGCAGGCTCAATAGTTGTGGCACACGGGCTTCGTTGCTCCGTGGCATGTGGGATCTTCCCGGACCAGGGCTCGAACCCATGTCCCCTGCACTGGCAGGCGGATTCTTAACCACTGTGCCACCAGGGAAGCCCAGCAGGCAGATTCTTAACCACTGTGCCACCAGGGAAGCCCCTGAAATGATTTTAAATTTATTTCTAATTCTTTTCTGAGTTTGTCACTTCATTACCAAGATTTTCTAATTCTGATATATGTTGTTTTTTCATGTTTTGAATGATTTGCTTTAAAAATTTTTAGCTTGTTTTAAAACAAAAGGGCATTGTTTTGATCTATTTTGTAGTCATGTCTTTCTGGCATGCTTTCATTTCTGTAGGGATGTTATTCTGCTCCTTATTCTCCTTTTGCTTTTAATAACTTTTTATGAGATTTAACCTAGAAGCTTTTTTTTTTTTTTGGCCGTGTTGGGCAGCATGCAGGGTCTTAGTTCCCTGACAAGGGATCAAACCTGCGCCCCCTACAGTGGAAGCATGGAGTCTTAACCACTGGACCTCCAGGGAAGTCCCCTAGATGCTTTTTTAATTGCTTATTTTATATGAAATTAATTTCCTGTACTTTTAGAATAAGGCAGGATTTATAAAAGATTTAACTTCAGAGTGTAATCTTCTGTTGTTCTGGTGTAGTGGTAAAAAACAAGGCAGCTTGTTTCAGATCTTTCCTTAGTTCTTCTCCCTCACTTAGGTTTTATTTATTTATTTGCTGCACTGCATGGCCCTTGGGATCTTTTCCCCCCGACCAGGGATTGAACCCCGGCCAAGGCAGTGAAAGTGCCAAGTCCTAACTACTGGACTGCCAGGGGACTCCCTTTCCCCCCTCTTTGATTTGGATCATCTCATTCTTTCCTCTCTTTAGTTCCTAACCTGCTCAATTTCTGTTCTACTTCTAGCAGTTTACCTTAAGTGTGAGTCCCTGTCTTAGAAGGGAGCCCAGCACCTTCAGACTTTCTTGGGCCACTGGATTGGCAAATTCTTCCCATTTTCAGCTTCTGTTCTGAAATTGGCTCATTATCCTGACTGTGAATAGCTGTTGGTTATTTTGGGGTTCTCCTGTTTTCAGGTCTGTCAGTTAGCCTCCCCCACCATTGCTGCTTCCTTCTCCTTCCACACAGATACTGATACCACCCAGGTCTTGTGGTTGTACATAGTATGTTCATAACTATTTGTATTTTGAGATTTTAAGGATACCCCATTACCTGGTGTTTGGGATACCAGTCACTACCTAGTTGTTCCATTCTTATTTGAAAATTTGGAAAGACTGAAAAACTATTATTTGCTGCCATCTCTCCAGAATCCCTGATTCTTTTTATAGTTTTTGGTTTCTTACTGAGATTCTCTGTCTGTTCACACATTACACTTATATCTTCCTTTAACTCCTTGAGCACAGCTATTGTTAGCTGCCTTAAAGTCCTCATCTGCTAATTGTAACATTAGGGTTATTTAGGATCTGTTTTTATTGACTATAATTTTATTGATTATGGGTCACATTTTCCTGATTCTTATGTCTAGTGATTTTTTAAAATGAACAGTAGAAGTTATGAATGATACAATGTAGAGATTCTAAAATTCTGTTATGTTCTTCTGAAGAGTGATTTTGTTAACTTGGCTGGATTCAAACTGCAAGCTCTGCTCTTAGTGGGAAGTAACTAAAGTCTCTGCTCAGTCCATTCAAATTCTGGCTGCCAGTATTTTGCTGAGCCTCCTGGGATCTCACCCTAGAATATAATGTAGTGATCAGCCAAGGATTTTGGAATATTTTATACGCAAATTTTGGACCTCCTCACCCTTTTTTGCAGTACCCTCTCTTTCAGGATTTCCCATCTTTCTGGTTCCTTGCTAGTATCTAATTCTGTCCTTTAACACCTCAGGCCAACTAGGCTGTGGCTTCTTGATGCCCAAGCTGTGTGAATTGGGGAGTTCCCTCAAGCAAAATACTCTAACCACTTAGACCTAACCCATTATAGCTCTTCTTTCAAGGATAGACTTATGCTGCTATTTCTACAGGCTTTTAGGAAGCTTTCTAGTGCCTTTAAATACTTGTTTTTAATATTTTGTCCAGATTCTATAATTGTTATCGGAGGGTTAATCTGTCCAAACTATTCTACCATAACCTAAATATTATCTTTGTACTCAGAAAATAAAAACTTAAATTTGTTTTCAAAAAATGTGTGTGTGCACATGTTAACTAGGTGTTTTTAGGTGCCTGATCCTTGATATGATTAATAAAAAACAGTCTTAGAAAATAATCAGGAGCTTTGTAAAGGCAGTTAATGTGTACTAGAGGGAACCTGTATATTTCTTTAGTTCTTTATTCCAAATAGACCCATATTCTAACTCATACCCCTAAGAAGCAGTGGGATCTTTGGAAGCCCTACCTGCCATTGACAGGCCAGGTACGAGTGATGTCACTCACATAGCAAGAAGACTCACAACCTCCATCCAGCAGCACCATTTCCCCATCCTGGAACAAAAGTAAGACAGGTAAAAGTAGGTGACTTAACGACTGTCAGTTCTTTCTTCTTCTAATTTAAACTCTTCATGCCTTTCATTTTATAAAAAACAAAACAAAACAAAAACTCTACTTTAAAGGAGACTAATCTTCTCTGGTTCCTTCTCACAAGAAATAGTGTCTAAGTTTTTCATATGAATTCACACTGGCTCAAGAAAGATGGCACTGTAGAGTGGTTAAGTGCATTGGCTCTGGAACCAGAGTGCTGGGGTTTGAATTACTAGGTGTAAGCATTAGCATTTATGATTTATTAACATCATAAATATTACCATTATCACTATTAATTAAAAAAATCCTATATAGGTTGTTATCCAGGGCCTTTATTCAAATATAATTACCTGTTAACCATTTAACTTTAGAATATCACTTTCCCTTCTGCTCTCCATCAAAATACATGTGGGGGGAAAACAAACAAACAAACAAACCCCAAACAAAAACCAAACCAAAAAACCCAAAAAACTCTGGGTACATCTCTCTTTTACTACTTGTCATGTTATACTGAAATTTTCTATTTATGCCCTTGAAGACAGGCCATATCTTATTCATATCTAAATAAGCACAGAACTTGGCACATAGTAGAATAATGGTCAAATAATTACATATATAATAATGGCAAGAAGAATGAATGTGGTTTTTGTTTCTGGAAACATGATAGAATAAATTTTAGGTAACAACTAGATCCTGGACAAAAATATATTTTATGAAATGTTGACATTACATCATATAAGAGACATCTTAAAGACTTTTTTTCTTGAATAAAAACAACCCAGAGGGGCTTCCCTGGTGGCGCAGTGGTTGAGAGTCCACCTGCTGATGCAGGGGACACG